CCCGTTACCTGTGAGGGTGAGTGTTACCTGTGAGGGTGGGTGTTACCTGTGAGGGTGGGTCGTGTGACTCGGCCTGTTCCAGCAGGAGCCCGCTGGACGCGGCGGGCACAGCAGGAATGCTGCTTGTTTGGGAAGGCTGTGCAGGGCTGGCTGCTCTGCCTCCCCCCCTGGCAGCGGCTCAGCCCGTCCCTGTTGCTGTTACAGCACAGCTGCTCCCCAAACCTCTTCGTGCAGAACGTCTTCGTGGACACCCACGACCTTCGCTTCCCCTGGGTCGCCTTCTTCGCCAGCAAGTGAGTCCTGGAGCCCTGGGGAGGGCTGGGGCTTCCTGGGGCTTCCTGGGGCTTCCTGGGACCCAGCTCCGTGGCCAGGGCTGGGTGTTCCCTACTCCTGGTAACCCCATTCCCAGTTTCACCCCATCCTGAGCCGAGAAAACCTTGGAGGTGAGGGCAGGTGAGATCCTCTGTCCTGTGCTGGAGATCCTGGTGTGATTTCCCTCGGTTTTAGACCTTCCCAAAGGGCAGAGTGAAGCACAGAGCAGCCAAATTCCCAGCTTGGTTGAGCTGTGGTGAATCCCTGCCACGCTCCTCTCGGCTCCTCCGTGAATCCCTGCGGGAATGATTCATCAGGAACTTTGTCCCTTTGCTCTCCAGCTGCTCCACCCTTGTCCCAGGGGCAGCTGGACTGTCCAGAGGGGGTCACAGGGAGTGTGGCTCCCTTCCATCATTCCACTTTTCCTCTTTCCTGGCGTTGCCTCTTCACCCATGCCCGTGTTTCTCCACTTCCCAGGAGGATCCGGGCGGGCACGGAGCTGACCTGGGATTACAACTACGAGGTGGGGAGTGTGGAGGGCAAAGAGCTGCTGTGCTGCTGTGGGGCCATCGACTGCCGGGGCCGCCTGCTCTGAGCCCCCCCTGCTCCCCACGGTCCTGGTGCTTCCCTCGGGGAGGGAAAAGGTTCTCCAGAGCTTCTGTGTTCTCCTGGTCCCTTGGAAAGTCACGGATGGACGCGGGGCAGGAAGGGAATCTGGGGGATTCCCGACCCCTGGGCTTCTCCCACCTTCCAGAGGCTCCAGTTACCACCACAACCTCCCTCAGGAAAGGGAGTTTTTCCTGTTCCCTTCCAGCTCTCTGCCAAACTTGAGGCACAAACCCCCTTCTTTTCCAGCAGGAAGCACTTCCCCAAGACTCCCAACTTCATGGTTGGGATTGAGGCCTTGGGAAGTGGGAGGGAAAGAGGACGGTGAAATCCCAGAAAGGTGGGACCAACCTGGATTTCTGTGACGTGAATCATCTGTGAGATGATGTTGTAAAGAATCTTTTGTACTTTTGGTTGTTAAAAAAAAAAAGCAATAAACTTAATGGTTTTTTTCTACTACAAATCATCTGCAGTGGCCTCAAGACACAGCAAAGATCCCTGGAAGAGCAGCACTGAACCACTTCCCACCATCCCTGTTTCCGTGGGGTTTGCAGGAAAAATGCCAAAGGCCCCAGGAACAGGGATAAGGAGCTCCCACATTCTCACCTTTCCCTCACCTTTTCCTCAAAACAAACACTCCTTAAACCCTTCACTTGGAAAAATTAAACAGAAACTGGCTGGAATTTTCTCGAGGAGGCAGATCCAAGGCTGCTTCCCATCTCCAGTCTTCCCAGAACGTCCCTGTAGGCTGGAAACACTGAGCTGAGCTTAAAGTCCTGCACTGAAGAGGCCACTGGGACAGCCTTAAACTCGATTTAGGCACCTGGGGAGGGTGGGTGGGGCAGCCCAGCCCAGTCTGGCTGCTGGACACAAATCCACACGGAAAATCACTGGCTTTGGCAACAACACACAATTCCAAGAATTTGGGTTTGGGTTTTTTTTTGGTGGGGGGGGGGGTAGGACACCAGGGCAGCTCCAAAAGGTTCGATAAACCACCTTGAAAACTGGTTAAAAGAGGCAAATTTTAGCAAACTGGGATCAAACCTCCCCATTATTGACACAGAAACCCCCAATCCTGGAGCAGATTCCATCCTGCCCCCACCCCACCAGCAGCCTCAGCTCACACAGCTCTGCACAAGGGAGGTTTGTTGTTTTCCTGCAAAATAACCCTTTTTTTTTTTTCTTTTTGGTAAAATAAAACCTTTCTGGGGCCTCCTGGAGCTCCAGTTCCATCCTGAGCGTCCACCTGAATGGAGGCTTTGTCATCCCAGCTCCTCGGGAACCCAAACCCACGCTCCAGCCTGGCCTGGACACTTGGAGAGCTTTGAGGAGGGGAAAAAAAAACATCATCAAAACCACCAAAACCCCCAAACCCCTCGACTTCTGCCCGTTTTTAGCTCTGTGCCAAAACAACCTCTCTGCCCCGTTGTGCCACCCACAGAACGTGCCCGAATCCCGTGTGGTTTTTTTAACTTATTTTTTACCCAAGTTTATTAGTTCTGTTTGTTTGGGTTTTTTTTTTTTTAAACTTTTAATATATTTAACCTTTTATTTATTCCTTTTTTTTTTTTT